GGTTGACCCGTGTGAGCGTGGTTGGGAAAGAGAGGAAGGATCCCACGGAAAGCCGGGGACGGAGGAGGAGACGACCTTGATTGTGAAGAAACGGTGGAGTATGGGAAGTGATTTTCTTGAAATTGGACATGACGGGAGATATATATACGACCTGTGGTCTGATCAAAACACCGATACCCTTTGGAGGAAGAGTCATAGCCAAGAAATATGCAGGGTTTGGACCGGGGTTGGAATTTATTAGTGATTTCATGACGAAGACATGGATAGGACAAACACCCAAAGATTCGAAGTATAGAGTAGTCTGGAGGTTTGTGAAAGAGATATTCATAGGGTGATTTGTGATTTAGAGACCGTTTTGGCATGCGATTGATCAGAAAATTTGCCGTGGCTAAGGCTTCAACCCAAAATTTTGCTGGGAGAGACGCCGTGCAAAGGAGTGTGACAAGACTTTCAACTAAGTGACGGTGTTTCCGTTCTGCTACCCCATTTTGCTCAGGAGTGTACGGACAAGATTTTTGATGTAGAACCCCCAAACTTTGTAAGAACAAGCCAAATTTTGTGTTGACATATTCCCTCCCATTATCAGTTCTAAAAATTTTAATTTGTGTATTGAACTGATTTTGAACCATAGCTTGAAAACTGAGAAAAGCATCATATGCATCAGACTTGTGTTTAAGAGGGTACAACCAACAAAATTTGGTAAAATCATCGATGAAGTTAATATATAAGTGAAAACCTCCAAAGGAGGGTACAGAGGTAGGTCCCTAAACATCAGAATGAACAAGTTCAAAAGGAGCAGATGCTTTAGTTTGTGACACAGGGAAGGGGAGTTTATGAGATTTAGCAACAGAACAAGAATTACAATGATCAAGTTCTTGAAATTTAAAACCTAATTGAGATAACAGAGACTTGGTGACTTGAACAGAGGGATGACCAAGACGGCAATGCCATTGATAGGGAGTGACTTTGACAGCGTTGACCACTGGTGACGAACTGGAGGCAGGGAGAGAATATAATCCACGCTCACAGGGGCCCTTGAAAAGAACTTGGTTGGTGGTATTGTCCCGAATCATAAAATCCTTGGAAGTGAAAAGTAGGGAACAGTTATTATCTTTGGTAAATTGATGGACAGATAAAAGGTGAGAATTAATATGAGGGGAATGAAGGAGATTGGTTAATGTAAAGGTATGGTTTGGAGTGGTGAGTATACCTGAGCCTGTATGCTCAATGGGATAAGTATTACCTCCCGCAGTTGTGATAGAATTGGTGCCATGATAAGGTGAAGAAGTATGCAGCCGAGAAAGATCAGACGTCACATGGGTGTTCGCTCCAGTATCCAGATGCCAGTTCGAATTGGTTTCAGCAGATTGATTGGTGTAGTATGCCTGTGGAGGACCGGAGTAAGATTCATCGTAGCGGTGCCAACAATTCCAGACCGCATGACCGGTCTTACCACATAGTTGACATGTGATGCCGGCCCCACGTCCACCACCGCGACCTCGCGGTAGGAAGGCAGCCGGCCTCCTCTGCCGTTGTAGCTGCTGCCGCGGGAGGGCCCTCCACGGCCACGATATGGCCCAAGGCCACGACCCCAGCCAGTACCTCGTCCTGAATTGGTGAATAAAGCATGATGAAGATCTGTTGACGAGGGAGAACCAGAGTCGCCAAGGTGCAGTTTCTTCTCAAAAGTGAGATTTAATTCTTCGGAGAGCAACCACGCAGAGACTTGATTGAAAGTGACGGTTGCAATATTAGTGCGAATGTTTTGTTTGAGCGAGGCATAATCCGTAGGGAGGCCTCGAAGCACACACAGGATAATATCTTGTTCAGAGATGTCCTCATGAGCCAATTTCAGAGATGAGACAATAGTGAGAACAGTGTCCAGGTATGTTTGCATGGAATCAGTGCCCTTTTGGATGCTATGTAGGCGCTCCTTTAATTGAAAAATGTGAGTACGTGAGAGAGAATTGTACCGTTGTTCGAGGTGATTCCAAATTGCAGCAGAGGATGGAAGAGCATGAATATGAGTCTGAACAGTTGGAGAAACAATAGCGAGAAGACAAGCCCTGATTTGAGCATTTACAAGAACCCATGAGTCATAAGCAGGATTGGGTTTCATAACTGGCGGTGCATCCTTGCCAGGGGCAGCAGCTTTCTCGTCCAAAATAAGGGGTGAAGGAGGCACTTCTGAACCATCAACATATCCGAGGAGACGATGAGCGATGAGGTTTGCGCGAACCGTAGCAGACCAAGAGGGATAATTTGTATCATCTAGTTTGACCGGAGTTAGAGATTGAAGATTCCGGACAAATAATTTCAAGCCCGTAGGCAGTCGATCCATGGGATCAGAAGTTTGAGCAGCCATGGCTGATCGGTGGAGATCGGCGGCGTGGGGAAGACGAAGTAGAGACAGAATCGGCTGGGCCGATTTTTTTTCGTTATCGAGAAGGAAGAGACGGATCAATAGGCTTTGATACCATATTGAATTATGATTTCAACTCAAGGAAATAATTGTGTACAAGGTAGTTTATATAGATGGAGATTCCTACATCAATTAGGATTCTCCAAGTATGGTAATTAACTATAATAAGAATCCTTCTATAACTAGAACTATTTCCATATTTATCTAACAGATTTGGTGTTAAAATTGATGTATGTCCTAGTAGCATTATTGTGATTTAGTGTTCTTTTCATAGTTAAATATTATTCCATCAGGCTCGCAAAATTTTGAAATGTAGTTTTAAATTTACTCCAATCTCTCTCAAAACCATCACACGCTTTGATTTTACCGTGCTTAAGAAAAGATTTGAAAATTAAAATATCGATCATCCAAATTTGTTTAGATCGATGACCAGCCACCGGGAGGGTTGGTCTGTCAGACCGGTGGCCAGCCACCCTCCTGTCGATGGGTGACCGAAAACCCGATGAGGGAGGTTATGTATGTGGCTGAATGAGATGCGTGATCCATACCCGCCCGCCTTATCGGTTCGGGTGGGAGACCCATGCCTGAATAAGACTAATAAATTCAAAAGTTTTTGGACATTCCTATAAACCCACACCCTGCAAACCTAGGAGGGTAGGCCACATATAGGCATCGTTATTATTTGTAATTTGACCCTAGGCCAAGGCAGCACATGTCTTCTGTAGTACACTAGTGTAGTTCTGTTATTTTCTTACTCTTTTTGTTTTAAAATAATCTTTTCGTCACATTACACAAAATGAGGTGAAATTTTAAATTTTTTAAATTCATTTTATTTAAAGATTGATATAAAAATAAAAAAAATATATTTGTAGGAACTACGTCAAAAGTTCTACAAAATGAGAGATGAAAAAAACATTTTATTTACACAGTTCTTATTAAGTTGCTTCTTCCGTTTTAAAAAAAATCACAATTCATCATACAAAAATCACGAGAACTTTAATTTATATGTAAATTTTCATGTTAATTAGTCACACATTTGAGAAGAATAGGATCCTTTGTATAGATGAGATAATGGTACATCAAATGACACGTCAAGAGATTGAATGGCTTCGGAAGGGTAAAGTATATATAGACAATCCAATAATACTTGTGTCAAATGACAGTCAACAAAATATCTTGTTTTTCTAGTTGCATAAAGGGTTGAAATTCATTTTTTTTTGTCTAAAAAAAGTAAGAACTAACTTTTAATATTGTCTTGGTTAAAATTTGATTTGTCCATTTTGTTAGGATCAAACTCAGAAATCGAGATGAAGAACACATAGAAACATAAAAAAGAACAATCAAGAACACTCAAAGTCTTAGAGAGAGAGAAACTAAGAAGAGAGAGAGAAAAACAAATACTCCATCAAAAAGAATATACTCAACAGTAACAGTTACTAATTCGACTTCTAAATAACTTTTATTTGTTTACTCGTTTTAGTTGATCATTTGATATAAAATACAATATTATTATCACATCTTTTTTTTTGTAAAACTTTTGAAATACTTTTAAATGATGTAATTTAAAAAAAAAATTTCTCTATTAATTTACAAATAAAATAATTTTTAAAGGAGATCATATTTTGCACATCGTTCGAATTGTGACAAATAATTTGGGATGTAGGGAGTAATCTCTTAGTAAAAAAATCACAGAAGAAAATGATAGCTACTCCTCCGCCCCGGAGTATTTGTCAAATTTTAACTTTTTTGGTTAAAATTGGCAAGCTTTGACGCTAAATTAAATAAAAATTACTCCCTCCGTCCTATATCTTTCTTCCCGTTTCGCAAAATAAAGAAAAATCTCAAGTTTTTTCAATCTATTTTATTTAAATATTGGTATAGAAATAAAAAATAAAACATACATATTTAAAAACTACATCAAAAGTTCAACAAAATAAGTGGTGACAAGAATATTTTATTTTATCATATAGGCTATAAAAAACACAAATAAATATAAATTCTCGTGAAGTTGGAATAGTGCTCTGGGAGGAAAGTTTTAGGACAGAGGGAGTATATACGATTGACTGAAAAAAATCCAATGTAGACATACAATTTAAAAATACAATGAGATAAACCATTTAAGTATTTAACACATCTCATTAAGATATTAATTAAGTAAATTGAGATTTTTGTTATCTCCACACAAGGCAGACCAATTAGCTATTTCATTGAGATTTCCCATAATTTTTTTAAACTTAGGGCGACAAAAAATTAGATAATTAAAATCCACAGTATTCGAACGTATTTAAGAACATAGTTTCAGAAGTATTACACAACTTTTTGTCGGATGAATAGAACTTTTCTATTGTTCTTTTTTTTAAGTAATTTGTCCATTTAATTACTCAAAACCGTGACTAATTAATTATTACTCATTACGACTCTAAAAGATTACTACAGTAAAGTTAAACTGTAACATCTTTTATCCATGAATTATAAAAAAAATATATATTTATTTATAATTTTAATTTAGTAAAAGTGAGTTTAGTTTAAAATATAGTTTTGAAATATCAAATTTTTATACTCCTTCTGTCCACCACAGATCTTCTCAGATACTATTCACATGATCAAACTTAATTCACTTTGTTTATTTATTTTTACTACTCATTTCATAAAATAATATAGTGTTGTCACCTCTAGTTTTGTATAACTTTTTTCATGTCGTTTATTACTATACAGATTTTGTATTAAAATTTTACCTTATTTTCAAATAAATTGAATTGAAAATAAAGTAAGTCAAACATCGTAACGCGCAATGAGAAGATCTTAGATGGATGGAGGGAGTAATATTTACTCCGTAATTTTTTTAAATTGTATTTAATTCGCAAAGAATAATGTCACAATTTGACGAAAAAAGTCAAACTGCGGTGATCTTTTAGGGACGGAGGAAGTAATAATAATTATTTCTATTTTAGGGTAATATTTAAACAATGCTAATTAAATTAACTAATTAAGTAATTAATAGATCATCAGTCAATTATTCGTCAATCATAGTAAATATGGCACATGGCACATACACCAAAATGGGGAAACAGAAGGTTCAGAGGCTCATAAGTCTTGTTGAAATTAAATATGTTCAGAAAATATCTACTCTTAAATGGCCACAATAATAAAGTCTAGGCCAAGAAAGTAGATATATGGGTCGGGTTTAGGTCGGGCCAAACGTAATTCAAGAATAAATTTCATCCTGAATACTTGGTATTTTTTTCTGTTTTAAAATAAAATTTATTTTTGTTGCAATTTATGATTTATAATTGAAAAGTTTTACTATATACTTCCTTCGTCCAATAAAAATGTTCACGTTTAATATTCACAAAGTCAAACTTTATTTACTTTATTGATGTATTTTGGTTGTCTATTTGATAAAATAATATAATCATGTCACCTTTAATTTTGTAAATCTTTTCACGTAGTTTTTAAATATATAATTTTTATTTTTTAATTCAATACAATTTTTCATAGAAATTGATTTGAAAATAGCTTCAGTCAAATATCGTAACGCGCAACGGAAACGTTATTGTTGAACGGAGGGAGTATTATTTTATGAAATAAGTAGTATTAATTAACCTAGAAAAAAAATAAAATTTGACACAATAAATAGTAATTAAGCAAAAAAATTTAGAGACAGGGGATGTAATTAACTTTATGTTAAATTTATTCCGTGTTTAAAAAATTAGTCTGTATAAATGTATCTAATCGGAACTTATACAAAAAATAATAATGTAATCTACTTTTTCTTAAATATAAATTTAATAAGATAATTTTAATACGCATAGATTTTAATCATTAAAGAACCGAACACTATCAATGTCCAATTGTGTAAATGAGGGTTCTTAGCTTGGCCAATGATGAAAGTTAAATCAAAATAAAAATTCATAAAATATATACTCTTATCTCTTAAATAAGAACATTGATACCTTAAAATGCTACGAGTACAATTTAAAATTATATATTGGCATTTGATGATATTTGTTAACATTTTGTGTTGGGGCATACAGAGTAATTAATTCCAATTTTTTAATAAAAAAATTGAAAATATATATGATTTTGATATATAAATCAAAATATAGTCATTATTAGATATTTCTCGCTAAATTAAATACAAATTCATTTTAAAGCTGATGAACTTACTGTGCAATTTATTTTGGACTAAAAAATACTTAGTACTCCTTCCGTCCCAAAAATAATGGGACGGTTTGACTTTTTGGGAAATTAAGGAAGAGATATTTTGGTATTGACTTTTCAAAAATACCCTTGATGTGATGGGTAAAAGTAGGATGTGATGGGTATATTATTAGGAAAAAGGTATGATGTGATAGGTAGGATATGAAAAAGTAAAGGGTAAAAGTGGCTTTTTAATAAAAATGTAACGGACTTTACGGGACGCAGTTTTTTCTATACGTAACAAACTTTTTGGGACGGAGGGAGTATTACGTACCGTATTACGTACTACGTAGTATATTGCACTATTCAAAAATGACGGCGTAATTTTTGTTTATTTGTATATTGTCATTAAATACTTCGTATTTGATGAAATAAAATAAATCTCAAACATCATTAGCTCTTTTTTATAAAAATTTTGACGTAATTTTGAAATATGTAATTTTTTTATTTAAAAATCATTAGCTCTAAGTTGTATCTAAAAATCAGTGTAAAAAGTGTCAAATTACTCAAAACACACGAAAGAAATCTCTGATTGATAAGCTCTGAAATGACTAATGAGAGGCCACTAGTCCACTACACATGTAACTACCCCCCCTCCCCCCATGTACCCATACTCATGTTATTGTCCATTTTCTTGGGTAATTTTAAGAAATAATGAAAGAAATTTGAAACTTAAGCTTATTACGGAGTGAAATAATATACTGTAGATTATGTTCTTGTCGTGTAAGAAACAAATACTCCCTCTCTCTCTCTCAAAACTTTTTATTCATCTGTCTCAAAAAATTCTTTCATTCCTATTGAAAAATCGTTTTTACCTTTATTAATTCTTAACCTATCTATCACATCAAATCTATTTACTATTAACCTACTAATCAAATTCTACTTTTACATATTATCCTTACAAATTCTTAATCATACTAATGAAAAATCACTATTGAAAAATCACTTTTACCTTTACTAATTCTTAACTCACCTATCGCATCAAATCTATTCATTATTAACTTATTTATCAAATTCTAATTTTTACATTTTTAAAAACTTAACATCAAAATATAAATTCTCCTTAAATCCTTTAAAAAAAATAAAATCTTCCACATTTTTAAGAACGAGGGAATACTTGGTAGTGAAAAAATATAATCACATCATATCTTATTTTTCTCAGAGTATATACAATTTTCAATATATTTTTTAAATTAAAATAAATTCAACCAATCATCATATATTAAACACTGCATTTTATTTTGGATAGAAGGGAGTGGAAATCAATTTTTTTTTTAAATATCATTTCGCAATTAAGTTAGAAACAGAAGGCATATACACGAAGGAAAAAATGGTCCAAGGAAAAAAAACAAAGATTTCATTTTTGTAAAGTACCAAAATACCCACGGTTTCCTCTGCGAATCCAAAAACAAAAACAGCAAAAGGTCATCCTAAAAAACGTCTATAATTACGAGAAAAACGTGGGTATTTTGGACAAGATGAAGATAATTAATCAAGTTTCATCAAAACAAATAAAATAACCTAAAACTAAAATAAATTAAAATTAAAATTTAAAAAAAAAATAGACAGCTAACAATAATTGGTCCCCTACTAGTTGTGAAGAGGATCTGGGCAGCTGGGAACTCTTCTCTCGCTCTCCAGAAACGACGCCGTTCCATTCCTCGTACCACCACCTCGTACGACCACCTCCCTTTGTTCTTCCGCCGCCGCAGCACGGGGGAACACCCGTATCGCCGCAGCCCCACTCAGCCGGCCGCCGTTCAGCGCGGGGATGGCGATTAAAACCAACACCGCCGCAAGCAGAAAGCACGCGGAGGCAGAGCTGACCGAAGACCGCCGCCGCCGTTGGCCGGGAAACGGTGGTGGTGTTGACATCGCCGGCGCGGCAGGATGGGGTCCACCAACATAAAGTCTCTCCCCTTTTTTTGCCCCTTTTCTCTGCTCCCTCTCACTAGAGAGATTTATGAGCTTAAAAATGATTCAATAGTGTGAGATGGGGTCATGGGCCAAAATATATAGGTATACGTCAAATCCCTACGGGAAGTGATATTTAATGATGTTTTTATTGCCATAGGGTGTGTCATGTGTGTGACATAAAAAAGGTGTCCCGTTAAAGTCGGTATTTAAATTTACAACTATGAGATACACCAAAGATTTTATCTCAAAATGTACATCAAAAGTAAAAGTATGTATCAACTATTCGACCATTCATAATAAAAATATTTGTATTAAATAGCATTAAAACTTAAGTCTTTTTCTAAAATAGCACATAAACAGTTTTATTTCTTAAGTAGCATCTAATAATGTTCAGAAAGAGGAACAATATCCAGTGATACAAATATTTACTTGAATAAAGACTATAGATAATGAATAAAAGTGCTACATTAAGAAAAAAACATATATGATGCTATTTCGGGAAAATCATTATGTTTTAGTGCTATTTAAATAAATTCTCCTTCATAATAACATAATATATTAGTACGATAAAAATAATATTCCGTAATATTTTGTAGAGTCATTACACTAACACAAACTGAAAATATACACTTGTGGTGTATAATCTAAGACACAACTTGTAAAATAGATATTACGTACAGCAGGAAAAAGAAAATTGAAATAATTCGATTTTATAATCTGTTCGGAAGAAATAAAGAGAAAACTGGACGTCAGATGTACGGAACTTTTAAGCGTCGGCCTAGACAGTGGTGGACAGAGCGAATGAGAACGAACCCAGGATAAAACTGCAACGTGAAAAGGCTAGAGTGGTAGAACGATGCACTGACGAACAAGAACGAATGAGAGTTACTCATCGGAGAAGATTATCGGAATCTAAGAGAGAGTTGGAATTGAGAGATAGAGTATTCGAGTTATAAGGTGTGTTCACGCCAGAAGCCAACACGTGTTCGCACGCGCACTCATGCATGTCGTGTTGGATAAATGGCGACATCGGCGGTGCGTGAAGGGGTCTTTCTTTCCTCCTTAAACTCTTGTACAATGCAATTCAATGCAATCATATATATGGTGGAAGATGAAAGGTCTAAAATTTGATGTGGGATGCATGAGTTTTTACTCCTTCCAAATGTTTGATTTTATGAATTAATTTCTCATTCAACTAAGCATCATATAAATCAAAACCCGGTAAACTCAAATTTTTAGATCTACCTGACAGATCCAATATTGAGGCAAAACAAGGGAAAGTACAACTAACAACTTTCTCTAATTCTCTTATTTACTGATCAAAGTAGTGTAATACAAAACCGTTTGTCACAGACGGGAATCAAACGGGGCGAATTCCATAATGGAGTTTTCAGCTTCTGCCAGTCACACCGTCGCCAACACCACTGTGCCGATCCTCTTCTCCTACACCAACGCTTGGGTCATTCTTCACCAAAGATTTCATCTCTTTTTAGTTTAAATAAAAGTAATTTTGTTGTCAATAAATTACAAAGCTGTCAAATTTGTTTTTTGTCTAAGCAAACTCGTTCATCTTTTCCTATTAGTCTCTATAAAGGTTATGCTATGTTTTTCTTAATTCATTATTATTAATAGAGTCTTTGTTCTATGTGTCTTCTTTCATGTGCTCATTATTTTCTTACAACAGTTGGTGATCACTCTAGAGCTATTTGGGTGTACCTTATATATAAAGGACAAAAGTGAGGACACATCATGTCCTAAGACATTCTTTGTTATGACTCAAAGGCAATACAATAAAGTCATCAAAATTGAACGATCTGGTAATGAAATCGAATTTCTTAGCCACTCTCTTCGTACTTACTATGATTCATTGTAGTATGTATCCAAACCTATTGTGTTGGTATCCCGCAGCAAAGTGGGCGTGTTGAGCTCAAGCAACAAGACATATTAAATGTCGCTAGAGTTCTAAGGTGAACTCTAATGTTTCAAGGGTCTCTTTCTTTAGAGTTTTAAGGTGAATGTGTAAAAACTGATGTTTATCTTATCAACGGAACTCCTACCAAACTCCTTGCTAAGTAAGTTTCCTCTTCAAATCCTCACAAATAAAGTTCCTTACTTGAGTCATATATGTGTTTTTTGGTGCTTATGTTTCGTTCGTCACAACTCTAACCTCATCCCCCCCAAATTTACTTCTAGAATTTGCATCAAGTGTATGTTTATCTGTTATCCTTATGGTATGAAATGGTGGCGTATGTATGACCTTGAAACACTTCATTTTTCACACATGGGACATCTCGTTTGATAAATCCCAACTCTCATTTGTTATCCCTTCCTCTAAATCCTCTTCTAAATCGAGTTCCGTCACAACCAATCAGCCTTCCGACTCTATTTTTCGTTTGCATCCTACCCGCAACATCATCTTCGCCTCTGTCCAACACATCATCTTCATCCCTTACCGGCAGCGATCCAACGGTCACCCCACCTTTGTCTGCACCTCCGGCCAATGTACCCCCAGACGACACTTCTACGACTGTAGCACCACCACCATCCTCCATCCCACCACCACCTCCGATCCCGTCCCACCTTTACCCCAAGAAGTCGACAACCCCCCTCTTGTCTCAAGTGCTTCATTTGTTACTCCGCCGAGGTAGCCACTACGCCTTCGCCTTTCCCTATACAGTTTTCTTCTTCTTCAGGTATGCGGTCCTCTATCACTAAATTTGTTTCTACTGAAAAATTACTCCGTACATGACAAGCACAAGAGATTTTGGAGCTGTTGATGCCCGCACAGTACCAAAAAATTGTTAAGAGGCCGTAAAATATGCTTCGTGTCGAGAAGCTATGGCACATAAAATTATGGAGTTGGAGCGTAATAACATGTGCGTGGGAAATCACTAATCTTCCTCTTAATTGACCAGCATTGGATTGTCAATGGATTTTTTTCAATTCCCACCAAATATAAGTCTTATGGGACTAAAGAACGTGACAAAGCGAGGTTAGTTGTGATGGGAAATCATTGGGAAAGACAAGAATGAGGTATAGATTATTTATACTGAAACCTTTACACCCATTAAAAAGTTAGTAACTGTTCGGGTTCTTTTGTATGTGGCAGTTAGGGGTGGGCGTGAAATCCGTTCCCGTTGGACCGTCCCAAAAAATTCCGGATCCGTTTTGTAATTATACCGATATTTTGGGACACATTTTTTTTGTCCCGAACCCGTTCCGTCCCAATATCAAATGGGACATGAGCGGGATAACTTAAATTTATATCGATCCGTCCCGTTTGTCCCGTTTCATCTACTCTACTAATATATAATACTAATTCTAGTCCAAAATCCAAATACACTCATTTTTTAATTAATTAGTTATTTAATTAAATTAACTTCATGAGCTTGAAATTTATTTGGACCCGTTCCACTAATTGTTTTTTGTTGGATGGCTAGATGTTTCTTTTTTTGAATGAAATGTTACCCTCTTCCCCTTCTTATATTTGCGATTAGGACAAAGTAGGACGACCCGAATCCGTCCTGTTTTATTCCGATCCCAAATTTTATGGGACAAACCGGGATTAGATTGTGATCCGAACCGTTTCGGACCGTTTATATATAACGGGACAAGACGTGAGACAACCTAAAATCCGGACCGTCCCGATCCGTGCCCACCCCTAGTGGCAGTTGCTAGAAATTGGAAAGTTCATCAAGTGAATGCAAATTATGCCTTTATACATAGAGATCTTCTTTTGTATTTTTCATTTGGTCTAATATTCATAAAGCGTAGAGAACACTGAAAGTAACGGTCGCCATTGTGTTGCATAACTTGTTCAAGCAGCAAATGAGTACATTACTATAAAACCTAAAATATCACATCCTATATATATCATCTCTGTTGTTGAAACAGTAACAAGATTGACACATGCATGTTTTTAGGCTTTAGATATAATCCCATATACTTAAATTAAAAAAATCTCTCACACACCAGTACCGAGTATTGTGACTATGGTCGCAAACAAACATCATAAGATTACCTACTCATAAAAAAGATGAAGTCATTGCCCTTCAGAACTGACATTACCAACACTTAGAAAAAGTAAATTGAAATTTAATCCGTAACAAAGATTGATCCGTACATTGAATTCGGGTGTTAATTCATGTGCACTTCTTGCCTTCTCAATTGTGCAACGTCCACTGACATTACATTACTCTTAGACAATAGTAATAATTATCTCTATCATGATAGTCTTTGTATTTTAGCTTCCATTATTGATTTCTAATCTTAGTTGAAGTTGTACTCCCTTCTATATATTATCTGCCATGTATACCCCAAAGATATCTAGGCCTGATGCAATCACAATTAACTTTTAAAATCTCTCTCTTTCAAGATTCAAATCCTTATATGATCCACCAGATACTTTCTCCGTCCAACTCTATTGTTCTCTTATGAATAACATAACGAGACTTGTTTGAGTTTATTTATAATTGGTTTTACTTAAATGAATTGTCGATAAAAAAACACTAAAATAAAATTTATATTTAAAAATTAAGTACTACCTAATTGCAAGGTCGTATTATGCAATACAAAGCTTCGCCACAATAATATTGGTAGTCCATTCACTGATCGATCTTTTGTGACCGTCATACCATTGATTACTACTGAACGTGTTATATATATATATATCCATTAATGTGACAGCAATACATTGTTGCTATTCAACTCTCTTTGACAATATTCCTTTTTATGCACTCCCACGAATCAAGGACATCCCACTACATATCATGGTGATTAATGTGCATTACTTCCTCCGCCTCTTCCTAAGATTTTTTCGATTTGACTTTTTATAATTTTTAAAGAAAATTAAAAAAAATGAAAGTTTACCAAAATATCCTAAATGAAAATGAGTGAAGTGTATTAAATGAGATGAATGAGGTGTAATAAATAAAGTGTGGCTAGTGGTGGCATTTTAAATATTAGAAAATAATAAAAAGATCTATGAGGGACAAATAAAAAGGACTAATGTGAAGATATATGGGGAACGGATGAAGTATCAATTATTTCTTCGGTTTTCCATTAATTATCTACCATTATTTTTAGGTACATCGAAACTTTTATAATTCGTCTTTTAAAACACAACTTTTTATATTTATTTTTTATCATCAAATATTACATTCTTGATTTTTTTTATGACACCTTTTCATGGATGGTCATTTATGACCTTCTGCCTTAGAAGGTCTTATATTAATAGAATTGAGTGAATTCTATCCGAGATAATTTGACCTCAAAATGATCTGGGGCATCTACGACTTTTCGTTGGTAAAGTTGATGCCTCATATCCCCAACATCTCCTTCACCCACCTAAACCCCTGTCCAAATCGCAACCTTGGGAGGTCGGGCAGAGAGAAATGCAGGTGGTAGAAATTATCAATTTTTCCTACAATCTATCTTAGGTTCCCCAAATTGCCCAAGTAATTTTTAGCTCGAGTCAAAAGAACCTTACCGATTTAGAATAGTCCGTGATAAATTTCGTTTTTGGAATTTTTTTAACTACCCATAAAAAATGAGTTTGCTTTTGCAAGGATTGCTTTTTTTTTTTTGTTTGAAGTCATCATAGTTATTGCCTGCTCCTAAAAATGGAAACCTGTTCTTCTGGATGCAAAAAAGTCCTTTAAGCTTTGTTCCCTTTGAATTTTGTTCTGCTCTTGCTGTCTTCTACCCTCACATTCAATTCTGCCCTTTTGTTTTAACACCAAAATGTATTAAACCTTTTGACATGTTCAGTACATTACACCAAATTTAATTACCATTTTCTCCTTGACCTCTCCCAAAATGGACACAAGACTTGTCAACTTTTATTAACTTCTGTATCTTTTGCAGTGTAGACATGGAAATCCACAAGATCTTAGGGTTATTATGCCTTGCAACTTTAAACCACTCCAAAATATAAATCGATCTACCCCCATATCATTAAATGGTCAAACTATTTCATTTTGATTTAATTTCACAACTCCATATTTTTTTAATATAATTAATCACAATGGCATAATATGACATTCAAAATGAGTGTCAAAAGAACTGCATCATAATTTTATTATATCAACTTTAGAAAATAGACATTATTATTTGTGCATAACATCTTTGAAAACAATGTACAACACCAAAGCATACTACTATAAGCCAATTCGATTTCATCTTTATTTAACAAGGCAACGATGATCGAGCCACGCTACAATATCGTTGAGCACGGCTAGAATCCGGTCATCGGGCTCGCCTTCAAGAATGCAATGGTAGCCATCTTCGTAGAGCTTCAAGGTCTTGTCATTGCTCAGTGCCCTCTCATACAGAAACTGGCTTATCCGTGGATCCGTCACCTTGTCTGAAGCACCATGAAGGATGAGCATCGGTGAATCAACCTGCAATCCGAACCCGACCCAAGTTAATATTCGGGTGCAACATCTTAACTTGAACCACCCTTTGCTTCTCTCATATCCCAAAGAGAATCAATCCAACCAAAAGAAAAGAGCATTCACAACTAACCTTATCCACCTGTGATTCTATGAACTTTGTAGCATTCAATAGTTCTACGGCTGTCTTCAATCGCGTCCTATCCGAATAACATATCACATTGTATGGAGCCTTCAAAAAAAGAGCGCGCGAAATAAATTTATTTAAAAATAGTTCGGATTTGAATCTTTAAATGTGTCAAATGATCTGACTGAATATGTCAAATCGCTCATCAAGGAAAAGATGTTATTCACTTACCAGATGAAACAATATTGAAAGCAACTCTAAGAAGGTGATATAATATACTCATTATAACAAAATAAAATCGAACAAAGATAAAATATTACCAATTTCCTTTTCATTGGCTCGCGAAATGCCAGTTCAGCCAAATCTTGTGTGGGAACCAACTTTGCCCATGGCATGAAGTTGGACATAAGAATCAAGACCTTCTGAAGTGGGACTGGAGGTGTCAATTCCTCTGCAATCTTAACAGTAAGCCATCAATTTGTCAAGTAAAAATAGTAAAAAAAAAATTATGCAAATAATTTGTGTCCATTTACAATTGAGTGACTGATTATTAACGTTTTGCTGACTGAGGTAATGCTTCGTATATATCGACTCCTCAAACCCCAACAAGTTGGAATTAAACTGGATAGTGTAAGAATTGTTAATAAACTTGCAAAATCTCATCTAAGGAAAGACATTTACCTTACACATTGGAGCAACAAGAACAATGCCATCCCAATCGCGCGGTTCCTTTAATATAGCCTTTAAAGCGACTGCACCGCCCATGGACTGCCCAAATATGAAATGGGGAAGCCCTCTTACTTCTGGCCTCACTACAATAAGTAATTCTCATGTGCATTAGGAGAAGAACCAAAACCCGTTTTTTTCTAAAATAATCTTTTTCCTACAAATTTGCAGGTTCCAAACATAGCCTACGGGTTATAAGAACCGGTTATTGGAAACACGCCCACCTTTCATCTTGCGAAACTGCTCGTTGGCATTGTCAACTATATCATCAAAACGACGAACGTATCCATGCAAGCCATCAGAAAGACCAAAACCAGGGTGATCAAGGGCATACACCCCATATCCAGTAGCAGCAATGTACTTGGCTATACCTAGAAATCCCAATATTACAACCTTCATCATCCAATTCACACAAAGAACTATGTGCAAATCTTTTTATAAACAGAGTACCTATTTATTTATTTATTTATATGATGAAACATATATTTACAAACCTTCAAAAAAGAATGTGCAAGTATCACCATATCCATGACAAAAACACAATGAGCCTTTAATTCGTACACCCGGTTTTGGCAACCAACTTTTGCAGAAAACTTCCTGGCCCTTTGAATTCCGTTCAAACCACTACAATTTTTACAGTTACAATAATCAGACAACAACAAAAAACCATAATGACGTCTCTCTTGTAAACAATCTTCGTATCTTTATAGTATGTTTGGTAGGACGCAAGTTAAGGTAAGACGCAGGTTATAATTTTGTGTCCTTAGTTTGAGAGAAGACATTTATGAGGTAATCCGGCGTAGGCTGTGGTAGCCATTACTTATCTATTACCTCCAAAGTAATCACATTTTTTCACGAAGACATGTTAAGGTAATGTGTATCAATACCTATCTTTGTTTGCTAGATAACTAACCATTCAAACATTACCTCAAATGATCAACTACTTAACTTTATCTACAATCATCATTGTTGAAGATATAGTCTCGCTCGAACACTCACACTAGAAAAGACGAATACGGGTATTTAAGAATATATTGAAGAAATCATCCCACATCGAACAAACGAATATGAGTTACTTCATGTCATCCATTATCATTTGGTTTTGAGTTGGAATATCATAATTCTACAATGATGATGATGATGATTACTGCAAATATGGAGTCAAGAATTCATGATTAAAAAAAATTGGAATGGAGAAATTTACCTCCTCTGTTCTGATGCCAGCAGGAGACATCTAGCCACAAGCAACCACAAGAGAAAACAATGAATCAATCAATTTGTGAATGGGATTTGGGGAAAAATCAAACTTGGAACAGAGATTTAAAAAGAAAAATTACTAGTCAAAACAAACAAGACCTTGAACAAGAGGTGATCAAGCTGCTGCTGGACCGGGAGAAAAGCGGATCTGACCCGTCTCCGGGCCGGAGCGAAATCCAAGTTCTGGGAAGCAATAGAGTTGAGTTCCTCACTCACCCCTTCGATTCTGGTCTTGTTTAAGGCCATGGTGACCTCCGACGATCTCCGGCGGGACCGGAGAGTAAAGGGCGTTCTTGAATTCCGGCAGAAATGGGGATACTCCGGCAGGTAGGTAGACGTCAGAGCAAGTTCCATAGCGAGCGAGAGAAGATTCCGGGTGAAAATGGCGAGAAATTGTGGGAAAGAAGAGATTTAATTGGACAAAGGAGTCAAAAAGGGATGCCATTAGCCCTTCTTTCTTCTCCCAAACCGTCACATGGAGTCTGGTCATCGGCGTTCCACCTTCCCCTTCCACTGAAGTTGCGCAGTGATGTTTGCATTCATTGAACGTACGTGGGCCACTTTTGAGGAAAGTCTAATTGGACTTTTTTTAAAAATAAACAAATTGAACATTTTTTTAATTGAGGAAATTATCTTATGAATACTATTAAAAGTTTAAAACATAATTTTTCAATAGTGGTATAATATTACACCAAAGTTCCCATGACATTGCCCGCAATGTCATTCGATGACCCGGGGGCGCTCCGATGTCCCGTTCGTAAAATTGACGGTTCCTACCCCTAACCCTCCCACTTTCCCCGGCCCGAACACACACCCCCACCCCCTTCAATTGCACCCCATAAGTTGAAATGACTTTGGAGTCAAAATTTGACATCGTGACAACATTTTGAATAAGACACATATCTGTTTGTAAAATTGATGATCCGTATTCTCCTGAACGCCCCACACAACAGTTTCACCCGGTTGCCGATTTGGCAGGTTGATTGGCGATCCAGAACAAGGGCAGAGATGAAATTGCAATGAGGCTTTCAGTAGTGTTTAGAGATAAGAATCTTTAATTATAGGAAAATATCTTTTTTTGTATTGGCTCATTAAATGGTATGCACTTTGGCCGGCCACAAAGATCAAGTAAATGGAAATTGTACACTTGGAGTTTAAAGGGAGGAGAAAGAAACAATATGAAACATAAATTTTTTTATAAATAGAGAACACAGTAATTTATATTTATGTATATGGAGTATACAATAATTTAATTTTTTGAACACTAATAACTTTGTTTCAATATACTGTAATATTTTTGCATACATTCTCAACCTGTTAAAATTAATAGCATTACTATCTTTATTGGGGTTTGAACCGATAACCTTCAATTTAAGAGAATCATTATGATTTATGATGCTCTTAGACAACAAGTTTAAGAAAAAGTCACTTATTTATTAGCGGTTCACAACTTATTTTAATTAAAATACCCCTAAAAGGGTTGAATAAAATAATATAATTCTTCAAATATTTTCTTAGTAGAAATATTCGTACCAAATATAATACGAGGAATATATAAATAATAAATTTGACTTTAGAAACATATTTTACATAGCAGTTTGGTTAAAATATGTTTGAACCAAACCTTAAACACACACTGAAACCCAATTGAGATTTCTAATCTAGGCCTAGAATACCTAATGGCCCAACTAGTAAGTAACCAATGTTATATGTGGGTAAAATTTGGGCTTGGACGGGCGGGCTTGCGCACTTGGACTTAAAGCTCGAACCTGTCATTAAAAGTTGTGGGCCCCATTAATTATGGGCCGAACCGGCAGGCATCCCAAAAATCGAAACCCAAGTTAAGTTCACTACTTTCTTGCACATCGAGTCGGTTCGGCCAGTTTCGGCCCAAAACCGAACTAACCAAACCTCGGGCAAAAATAAATCAAAATCGACAATAACCGAACTGACCTTGAACTTTAATCTAATTATGAAATAATAAAAAATAATAAAAACTATAATTACAAAAAATGTAAAAATGTATATTTAAGATATCTATTGTTAAATTGAATATCCTTAAACCAGTTCGGTCTTCACTTACATAAAGTGAACTATAATTACAAAAAAATGTAAAGATGTATATGCAAAAATCTTCTAGTTTTTTCTAACTCTTTCTAGTTCATTCCAACTCTTAATTTTTCAACACCCAACTTACCTCTGGAATTCCAACTTAAAAGAACAGGGTACAAGTAATTTGTGCATAAATCATTTTTGTTAATGATATCAAACATTAGGTAGATTGGAAGAAATTATGACTTGTGAAATCAAGTCATTGTTAGTAAAATAAGATACTTGTAAATTCAAGTTCTTGAGTTGTACGCTTTGCTTAACACTATTAATTAGTCTGGTGGAGTGGTGGAGTGTCAGGGTGGTAAGTGAAGACTTGGACACAGTTGTTCAGAGATTAGATGCATACATTATGCCAAACCAATATAGATCGTGGTGTATTTTGTAGCTTTCCATCATATATATTTCTGTACAATGAGTGTTTTGATTTGATCGTTGCTACCACGAGTGTGTAGCAAAGGATTTTTTAAAAAGCAGTTATTCAGGACAATACTTCTGTTCATCCCGCTAGAGGTAAGCAATAAATCTAACAACACATCAATCTGGTTAAAGTTTATTAAGATATTTAATAATTAATCTGTGTTATATACTTATATTCATTAACCTTCCTCTTGGAAAAATAACAAGTGAAATAATATAAAAAAGAAGTGAAGATATTAAAATTCTAAGTGCATTAAAAAAACAAGTGGTCAATTTACACAATAAATAAGAAGAAATGGTGCATCACTAGTAATAGTCCATTTCGAATCTAATCATTTCAACTAATGTGAAACTTTTTCAACTAGAGGTATAAATAAATTTAAATTTCTATAACGTCACTATAACAAGTCACAAGTGATTGCAACTCAAAGTGTAGTACGTGCCAAAGTTCAACAAATGAGTTAACGATGGCATTCACGTGCGGTACAATGCTTAAGATGAATGTCATTACGCATTAAATGGGTAACTACATGTTAAATTCTTGGGTCAAAAAAGAGGAAAAAAGAAAATCTTCGTCATCAGTCTCAATATTATTAGTCACACAACGAATATCTGTCTATCTACTTCTTGTAAACTTACTTATCAAGGTGTTATTTTCTTTGCAGTTCCAAACTCTTGTTTTTAGGCTTCCACTTGAGACACTAATTCAGTAGAGAGGAGATGTTAGACAATTATAATAATAACAGTTATGGTAGTATTACTTATGTTAGTATTTGTAATCTAGTCAGTTTCTATTATTTCTACATACAACTTTCGTGTATATTTCTAGTCCAAATTTCATACAAGTATAAAATATGTTCATTTTGAAACAACATAGAGCCGTTCTGAAACAACGTAGTGATTCTAATATATATTTTTTAATTATAAATTTGCCATTATTACCAAGACAAAGCTACATAATTTTTCTGAGGGATTGTGAGGACCCATTCTATAAACAAAACAAAGTACTACGTGGTTGTTTTTGCATCTCAAAATAATTTTTTTCACCGAGCTGAATAAAACTAAAATTAAGTAATTAAGTTTTATGGAGAGAACAAATTTAGAATGAAAAAATTGACATATAGGATAATTATGCCTACCCTGGAGTCCTAAGACGACATAGTCCCTATTAGTAACAAATCTTGACATTAAAAGGAACAAAGATGTTAGGAACCCATCACAGGTGTGCCCACAAATTATAATTATAGATGATTCATACATATACATGCAAAAGACATCTATGAACATTAATGGCTAGTGTCTGTATATCTGTATATGTGTATAAAATCATCTGTAATTATCATCATCCGTCAAAGAGTTACAGTATGTTTCTAGCATGATCCGAAAAGGAAAATATGGGTAGCATGAGGTTTATCCTTTTTATAAATTAAGGAAAGTACAATGGAATGAGTGGAATGGAGTGCTTACCACCGGCTTTGAACCATCAAAAAGTAAAGCACACTAAATCTGCAAGACCCCACCAGATTTATAATGATTTTTCCAAGTTACTATTATGCCGTGTACTTAAGGGTTTAAAGCTCCATTGAAAAAGTCATCAAAGAGGCTCTCCCAATTATCAAATAGACCACTTTCAATGATTTCATTTATTCAGGAGAAAAAAAAGTCTTTTGTGGGGATGAGGGAATGTGTGAAGTTATGAACACCCCTAGTAACTACTCTAGTGACTAAACAACGACTTATGTTTAGGTTCATAGCATGGGTATAGTAAAATTTGACTTGCATGATTGAAATTATAGCTCGATTTACATACTGATTTGATTGAGATTATACATATATAGCTCAATTTATAGACTCTTATCTTACTGCTTGCTGTCCAGTCGGTATTGAGGGACCCTTAGAGATCGATGGAGTGTCATTCTTGCCTCTAGTATGGGTAACATTTGACTGAAAATAACCCATGATTTGATATAATATTAAACTTGCTTCCTTTATCGTAGCCTGTTTGTAAAAGGTTGAACCTCAACCTCCAGGGTCTCCAAGTATATTAGTTCCGAAAGTAAGTTGGAGGTAGATAGTAAAATTATAATCTCAATATGCTTGAAATTAAAAGAATAGTGAACTCTATGCATGATACATGTAAGAATTTCATGCATGATAATTCTTTTTAACTATTGGTCTGGATTCAAACTTGATTTTATTCCCTTTCGCCCTCACCTTTCAACCATGTGAGCTACACCACCCGAGCTTCTTAATCTATTTGAAATGTCCACTTACTCCCCTCATCTAGATAAAAGGCTTTGCCTTTGAATTGACACAAAGTTTAAAAATATAAAATTGCGCGATTAGAGGTGATCCAAACATATGATCATATATTGGACATTATCCATTAGTCATTATCTGAGTAAATGTCAACCAACCATAATTCCTTCCATTAGACATCATTAAGTATTATTTATACATTATTAAGTATTATTTATTTTATTTAATTAATATGCAATGCAATATAATATACTATCCAGAATAACTGTTGGATTTCATTGATACGCAAAGGAATAAGAGGTAAATAGATGGAAGAAGATGAATGACTACTCTAAAGAGTCTATATAACCAAACTAACTCATATGATTATGGGATAGCCTTTTTTTGTGTGGTCTGCTAATCACTCAATAATGTACTTTAATTTGATATTCATAATAATTATACTACATATGCTAGCTCTAGTTTTTTGGTGACTCCGTACTAATTAATCCATCATAAGGTGCAAATCTGTGGGTGTAATTCCGAACTCACTGCCTGCAACGCACTTCCACATCACCCCAATGTTGCATTTGATTCGCGTGGTTAAAAGGTTTTGCCATGGCATCTCTTTTCTTTTTTTTCTTTTTTTTGTAAAAAAGAAGATTTTTTTTAAAAAAAGAGTGCATCTATTTATGAAAAAAGATAAGTAAACTAATTTTTAAATAATTAAAAATTATT